CTTTCCTTTTCCTTAGAATGCAAGAAGACAAACTTGTTAAATGCAACAGATAGGAATGCTTATCTGGTGGGGCAGGAAGAGAGACCTGTCTTGTTTCATTGCATCAAAACTGACAAATACCTTCCAGTAGCTGTGCTATTTTGTATTCCTGCCAACCCCCTGACTGGGGTCTCTAGTGCAGTCATGCACAGGGCAGGTTCCCTATGGATTCAGGCAGACAGATAAACAGTACCCTAGCCCTCAGTGGATTTTACAAGCTTTAATGCTCTTCCAGGGAACCAAGTACACAGGCTCATCAGGAAGGCAAGATGGCATGCAAGGAAGCAGGCAAGGGCCTGGCCGTGGGGGGCTGCAAGGCAGACAGGCAACCAAGGCTCCCAGCTCCCTCAGGAATCCTTATACTCTTTCTCTGGCTTCCCTCTGGCATTCTCAATCTCTTGCAGTTTGTGGTCTTGCGTGTCCTGTAGTCACCTGGGTGCTCTTGCTGCTGAGTGGGCTTCCTCCTATTTACTTCTAGCCCAGCTTCTAGGCTCAGGTGTGCACATTTATTCATGCGCACAGCTATACTTTTGGGGCACAGGTGTCCACAATCAGGCATGAGTGCCCTTCACCCACATTCCCAAGCATCCCTTGCTTAGGCCATAGGTGGTAGCAACAGAGGTAGCATCATAAAAAAGCTTTATTAACTCATTTACCCTACAGGGTCTCTGTTGCTCCTCATCCTGGTCAGCACCTGGTACACAGTGTCCCCCCTTATCTGAGGTTTCACTTTCCAAGGTTTCAGTTTTCCACAATCGACCTGGATTGAAAACTTTTATGTATGATGAGATATTTAGAGAGAGAGAATACTCACATAACTTTTATATAATACATTACTATAATTGTCTTGTTTTTTAAAAAATAGATAAATGTACATAATATAAAAGTCCAATACTTGTATAAAGCTTGTTATGAAGACAGAGGTCCCCAATCTTCCATGTTCCCCATTTCTTAAATCTGAGATATAAGGTGTTTTACATCTCTTAGCTGATTCTCTAGTTGCTACTTTCTTGCTTCCAATACCATCCCACTAGGACTCTTCTTGTGTTTTATGTCTCATGTTTAGTAAAGACACAGGGCAGCAAGGGGCACTAAAACTGTCCAAGGACGTTGCCCAAATAGTTTACCAGTCACTCTCTAAAATTGCAAGACTACACAGGTTCAGAGTATCAATGTGTTTTATTTAAAACAAAGAGTTACTGAGGGAAAAAAAAAAGACCATCTACCTCACCTGGAGTATCCAGTGTTCTATTTTTTTTTATTAAATTTTTTTTATATAGGCATGTTTTTATTTATTTATTTATTTATTTATTTGTAGGAGAGGTCTGCGCGCCATGTGGGGCCCTCCTCTGGTGGCCGGGGAGCAGCCAGGGATCGGCCGGGGATCGAACCGGTGCCGCAGAGGCCGCGGGCAGCTTCGCAACCGAGCGCTCAACCGCTGCGCCACCAGGGAGGCCCCTTATCCAGTGTTTTAAAGTCCTAAACACAGATGTTCCCAAGATGGCATCTTGCTGTCACTGAGGGCCTGGAGCACATGGTAGCCAGACTATAGGCCGGGATCCAACTCACGAAGATAGCAGAAGATACAGCTGAATCCCGAACACTCAATCCTGGGGGCTGCTTCTGCTGTCAGTTATATTTCTTTATCAGACTCCATGCTTTGTTTGCGTTTTCCCTAGATGTATCCATCCTCATCAGCACCCCCCTCCCAGGGGTCACCACCTGTAAGTCTTTGGCTTCATCCCCCTGTTACAAACTGACTCCATTTCACACAACCTTGTTCTCCCAGCATAATAACATTATAATGTTGATTAGCTCAGTGCACAGTGTTTGCATTTTGGGGGAACATCTTATAATTTAATTTCTATGACAAAACTGTCCTATCATTTAAACAAAACTGATAATTCTCATGTGTGAGGAAGAAAGGGCAGTGTGGAGAAGCCAGGATCTCAGGAGTAACAGATTTCACCAGAGACAACATGGAAAGTAGAAAAGGTGGATTTATTGAATTACTGCAGGGAAACAGGGGCGGGGATGAGAAATTGTTCCTCAAGCCACTGAAAGAAAAATTTGGCTCTTGGATTGAAAGAATTAACATTATCAAAATGGCCATCCTACAGAAGCAATTAACAAATTAAATGCTATTCCAATGAGAATTTCAATGACATTCTTAAAAGAAATCAAACAAATATTAATGAAATTCATGTGGAATCACAAAAATCCTTGAATAGTCAAAGCTCTCCTGACCAAAAAGGAGAATGGAGATATTACACTCTCAGACTTCAAATTATACTACAAAACCATAATAATTAAAACTGTATGGTACTGGAACAAAAACAGACACACAGATCACTGGAATTGAATAGAAAACCCAGAAATAAACCCACATATTTATGGACAGCTAATCTTCGACAAAGGTACAAAGAATATGCAATGGAACAAGAACAGTTTGTTCAGCAAATGGTGCTGGGGAAACTGGACTGTTGCATGCAAAAAAAAAAAAAAATGAAGCTAGACTACTACCTCACAGCATGCACAAAAATCAACTCAAAGAGGATAAAAGACTTGGAGTAAGAGCTGAAACCATAAAATACATAGAAGAAAATATAGGCAAAACACTGAATAACTGCATCACAGTAACATCTTTAAAGACACACCCCCCCAAAGCAAAGAGAGTGAAGGAAAAGATGAACAGCTGGGAGTACCTCAAATTAAAAAGCTTCTGTACAACAAAAGAGACATAAACCAAACAAAGAGACACGCTACTGAATGGGAAAAAATTTTTGCACACAATACTACTGATAAAGGACTGATCACAAAGATCTACAAAGAACTCAAGACTCAACAAAAACAAAGGAATCAATCCAGTCAAAAAATGGGCAGAAGAGCTAAAGAGACATTTCTCCAAAGGTAAGCAAATGGCCAACAGGTGTGTGAAAAAAATCACTTGTAGGGAAATGCAAATCAAAAGCACAATGAGATACACCTCACACCAGCAAGAATGGCACATATTAAATAAACAGGAAACAACAAATTTTGGAAAGGATGTGGAAAAAAGGAACTTTCCAACACTGCTGGTGGGTATGCAAATTGGTCCAACCACTATGGAAAGCTATGTAGAGGTTCCTCAAATTACTAAAAATGGAGCTTCCATATACCGCACAATTCTACTCCCAAGAATCTACCCAAAAAGCACAAAAACATTAATTCAAAAGGGCACCTGCTCATCTATGTTTATTGCAGCACTATTTACAATTGGTAAGATATGGAAACAACTCTAACGCCCAAAAATAGATGACTGGATCAAGAATATGTGGTGTGGAATGGAATATTATTCAGCAATCAAAAAGATTTACTGATGCTGCTCCCAGCAACATGGATGGAGCTGGAAGGGATTATGCTCATTGACATAAGCCAGAAAGAAAAGGAATAATATTGGATGGTTTCACTTATAGGAGGAATGTAGGGGAACCGAATAAGGGATCAGGAAAAAAATAATTATAATAAATTAAAAAACAAAATTAACAGGCAACTATTAATCAGAGACACTGCAGGGGAGGGGAGAGAGAGGGATCAAAACAGGAGAGGCAAGAACACAAGGGACTATGGTGATGGTGCACTCGTGAACTGGTGGTGGGAATTTTATAGGGACTACACTGGAGAGGAGAAAGAATGCATTGTACCAAAAAAGAGAATGATTTAAAATATATATAATAATAATAGTAATACTGGTCAGAGAACGACATAGTAGAAAGTTTGGGAACCAACAATAACTCAGCAATTTCACTGCTTGGTAATTACCAAGGGGGGGGGGTGGAGAAATGGCATTCCTACATATTTCTGTAAGGGTATATATTTTTTCATTGACCAACCTAAAAAGCAGACTAAATGCCTAAAAAACAGACTAAATGCAGAAGGAACTATGACAATCCAACTTCTAAGGAGACAGAAGACAGTTGCAAAAATAGAAAACCTAAAAGATCTACTCTTCTCATTAACCTGATTATTTCCAGAAAGTTGTTTTTCTTTAAACACTGGGTTAATATGCAAATGATTATTAAAAATATACTAAATGAGGGCCTCCCCGGTGGCGCAGCGGTTGAGTGCTGGGTTGCTAAGCTGCCAGCAGCCTCTGCAGCGTCGGTTCGATCCCCGGCTGCCAGGGGAGGGTCCCACATGGCGCGCAGACCTCTCCTGCCGCCCGCTGCTCCCCTCAGCAGTGTACTTCGGTCCTTCTGCCTGTTCTGCTCCCTGCTCTGGCTCTGGTGAATTCTCTCACCCTCCAGCGCTTCTGACTGTACCCAGTGCTTGAATAAATAAACAAACAAACAAACAAATAAATAAATGAATAAATAAATCTAAGAAAAATCCTAAATGAAATCAAAACATCTTTAAAATGGTTTTATTCTTTGTGTGGTATAGATTGTAGGTATAACAGCAAAATATTATACTTGGGGGTCCTTGGTAATTTGTAAGTCTGAGCAGAGATGCTGAAAGGAAAATGTTTGCGCATCACTGACTCGGGCCCTGCGCCTGGACTCCAGGGACAAGGAGACAAAGTTCCAGCGGCTGAGAGGAGGGGTCGGAGCAAAGCCCCACGTCAGTGCTGAGGCGCTCAGGTCTCTGTCTGCGGGGAGCTGTCTGGGCCCAGAAAGTTACAGATCGGGATTTCCCTTCTCCCAAGTTTCGCTTCCCTTTCTCACAACCTGCGGCGAGTCCTCCCGCCTGGATACAAGTGACTCGCCCCGGTTCCCACTCCCTATTGCCCGGCGGGTTTGCAGAGCAGCCAATCAGCAGCCCCGCGGCTCCAGGCCGAAGCTGCCGGGAATCCGCCTCTCAGTTGGTGATGCGGTTCCCGAGCTTCTGGCTGCTGCTCTTCTGGGCCCCGACCTGGACGGAGACCTGGCGTGGTGAGTGCCGGCTTGGCGGGGAAAAGGCCTCTATGAGGCGGGAGGAGCTAGCGGAGCCCTGGCTGCAGCGCTAGACCAGGTAAAGGGGCCCTTCCCGTCACCCGCCCGGATGCGCCCCCACCCCCAACCTCGGCCTCTGCCTGTCCCGGCCCCTTTCTGCCCCCCCCCCAGCCCCCGCCTGCTCTGGCCCCCTGACTCCCGCCCTTCTCGTCCCGCCGCCCCTTAACCCTCTCGGGAGCCCCCTCGCCCCCCCCCTCCCGCCCCGTGTCCCCAGCCCGGGTCTCCCCTCCCGCCCCCAGGCTCCCACTCCCTGAGGTGTTTCTCCACCGCGATGTCCCGGCCCGGCCGCGGGGAGCCCCGCTTCATCTCGGTGGGGTACGTGGACGACACGCAGTTCGCGCGGTTCGACAGCGACTCCCCGGGCCGGAGGATGGAGCCGCGGGCGCCCTGGGCGGAGCGTGAGGGCCCGGAGTACTGGGCGCGGGAGACGGGGACCGCGAAGGACAAGGCGCAGACCTTCCGAGTGAACCTGAGTGTCCTGCGCGGCTGCTACAACCAGAGCGAGGCCGGTGAGCGGGGCGGGCCCCGGCGCGACCCCCATCCCCACGGAAGGGCGGGTAACCCCAGATTCCAGGTCCGAGTGACACCCCGAGGCTGGCGGGCCCGCCCCGCCCCTCCACCGGGAAGAGCCCGCGGGACTTTCACCCGCGAGGTTTCACCATTTTAGGGTTATTGGGGCTGGAAGTCTGGGTGCTGATGGGGTGACCGCGGGGCTGACTTGGGGCGGGGTTCAGGGTCTCACACCCTCCAGGAGATGTACGGCTGCGACGTGGGGCCCGACGGGCGCTTTCTCCGCGGGTACTGGCAGTTCGCCTACGACGGCACCGAGTACATCGCCCTGAGCAAGGACCTGCGCTCCTGGACCTTGGCCGACACTGCGGCTCATACAGATCTGTGCGAGTTGAAGGCACTGAGTCAGGTGGACCACTTCAGGCACTACCTGGAGGGGGAGTGCGTGGAGTCACTGAACAGATACCTGGAGAACGGGCATGAGAGGCTACAGCGCTCAGGTAAGAGGGGCCTCACAAGGCCTCAGTGGTCTTTGATTTCCCTCAGGCTTCACTCCCCGGGGAGGAAATGGAATGATGGTCAGAACACCGACTTCTCTCTTGTCTGAGAAGCTGAGTCCTCCTGGCTTTCCTGTTCTGTACCAGTGAGACTCACCCACAGGGCCCTACTTTTTCTGAAGGACATTAAGGAATCCAGCTCTCCTGAGATGCAAGGGATGGACCATTACTGAAATCACCCTTCACAGCACCTTGAACAGGCAGTGATCTTGGGAAGCATCCATTTGTCTCTTTATGTCTTGTTTTTGGTCTGACAATATTTTTAACTTCCAACTCTTCCTTTTCTGAGTCCCCAGGTCAGGAACCTACGTCTGTGTTCTCTTCCTTAGAGACCTGCATCTTCCTTACCCTATGCTCTCACCCATATTCTAGTACTTTCTAAGGAATAGGAGATGATCCCAGATTCCTCAGACCAGGCTGGCTTATTGGTTTTGGGCTTCATCTTCCAAACCCATTGCCATGCCCATTTTGAGGATGGTCAATGAGGCAGCTTCAGTGTCCTTGAAGGAAAACACAAAGTGAATTTTCTGACCCTTCTCAGATCCCCCAAAGACACATGTGACCCTCCACTCCACCTCTGAGCATGAGGTCACTCTGAAGAGCTGGGCCCTGGACTTCTACCCTGCAAACATCAACATGACCTGGCAGCGAGATGGGGAGGACCTGACGGACATAAAACTGGTGGAGACCAGGCCTGGGGGAGATGGAACCTTCCAGAAGTGGGCGGCTGTGAATGTTTCTTCTGGAGAGGAGCAGAGATACAAGTGCAATGTGCAGCATGAGGGGCTGCTGGAGCCCCGAGTCCTGAGATGGGGTAAGGAGGGGGACAGGGCCCAGAGGCTCTGCTCATGGGTACCAGGAGCTCTTTTGAGACCTTCAGAGGGTCAGACTGAATTCTGGGGCTCAGGGCCTCACCTACCCTTCCCTTCCAGTGCCCCCTCCTCAGTCCTCCATCCTCACCGCGGGCATCATTGCTGGTCGGGTTCTCCTTGGAGCTGTGCTCACTGGAGCTGTGGTGGCTGCAGCTGTGATCTGGAGGAAGAAGCGCTCAGGTAGGGCAGGGAGTGGGGGATCTTGTCCACTGGGGGCTTTCATGTCCCAGGGAGAACTTGCCTTAATGGGAAGTACCACACACACACTGTGTTGCCTAGTCTGGAGCTCATTGCTAACATTCACTCTTTTGTAAAGCATTTATGAAAAGGAATCGCCAGTCGTTCACCTTGATAAATCTGGTGATGAGCCCCTGATTCCCTGCTGAGGACAGACTCCAGGAAGCAGTTGATTCAGTTCCCCCTTTTTCTCCTTTCTTCATGTTTTTGCCCTGACTTTCAGTTCTAGAAACTTCCCTGTGGCCCAGATTAGCGGATTCCTTTAGGACTTCATAGGCTGACTCCTCCCTGGTTTCACATACTGTCTCTTCCCACAGGTGGAAAAGGAGAAAGCTACACTCAATCTGTGGATAAGTGTGGATCAGGGGTTGGATTCCTGAGGCCCTGGGAACAGTGTAGATGGAGCCCGTGGGGAAGTCACCCTCATCAGTTCCTCCTGTGGTCTCATCTCATGTGGCTCTGACCAGGTTCTGTTTTGTTCTCCCCCAGGCAGCAACAGTGCCCATGGCTCTGCGGTGTTTCTCATATCTCCTAAAGGTGAGACCCTTGAGGCCTGTGGTCGGAGGGGCTGGAACAGTTATGGGGATACTTTATGTAAAACATTTTGAGGATGCAGTGGACTATTGAGAGTGTTGACACTACATGATACCCGATTTCATTCCTGGTTATTTTCCTTTACAATATGAGACAGCTGCCTGAGTGATGCAGGATTTCTTCTCATCTTCACTTTGTGACTGCAAGATCCACTAGTTTGATCTTTTTGCAAACAGCATATGAATGATTTTTTGTTTTTATTAGGTAGTGGTGAGGAGTGTAGTCTTCCTCTGCACACCAGGCCCCTCCACACATTGACCTGTGTCTCTCCCTGATGACTTTCTTGCTCCAGCAGAGACGGGGCTGACCCATCCCTGCCTGTATTTTGTGTTTTCCTGAGGAATAATGTCTACTTCCTTCTTGAAAATGATAATCCAGATATGAAATTATTTTTCTTACCTTGTCATGTGGGATTGATGGGTAAATAAGAAAGATACCTAAAATTTGAGAATAAATAAAGAGGAGCCCTGAGAACCAGCCAGAACTGCAGGTTTACTGTGCTCAGTCCGTGCATATGGGGGCGGGAGAGGAGGAGGCTGTGAGGAGCCGAGCGGGACGGGGCCTGTGTCCAGTTGGTGCTCAGTGCATCGTGGTCACTCCTCACGGGTCATCTCTCTTTGTCCTTGTCCTTCAGTAGCACCTGTCCCAGCAGGACCTGAGATCACAGAGACTCAGACATCACCTGGACCTGTCTTGTCTCCAGGATGGGAGTGGAGGCTACAAGTGGCCGGGTCAGCCTAGGCTCAGGCCAGAGTTTGGTGCTCAGTCCTCATACTCTGTATGTTAATATTTTACATCTTTGGTTTTTATTGTTTTATTCCCATTCATTTTCATGTTTAGACACCAGGCCTCATGTCCTCTGGGTGTCCCTGTCTCTGACAGCAGCAGGAGGCACCTGTCATTGCCCCAGCAAGGCCCAGAGCAGTTGCTGCACACAGGACTCTGATGTTAGAGATTGATCCAGTTTTTGTCCTCATTTTAGGACTGTGTTCTGGATGATTATTTCCATCTTTTCCACATCTTTTTTAAATAACCAAATTGTGGTACTAGTAGAGAGGAGGATTAGATAATTTTTCATCTTAAATAACATCCTGTTGTATTTCTGTTTTCTCTACAGCTTCTTGCTGTTGCCTTACCCTTAAGTAACTCTACCCAGAGTGCGGACAGGGAGAACGGCTGCTTCCTAGTGTGGTCATCGTGGGCCTAACGTGACCTTTGAGAAAAAGTTTGATGACTTCATCCCACACATGGCTACTTAGAAGATGGTGACCCCTGTCTAACCACTCTCCTCTCTACCCTGAACTGGGGGGGAAGCCAGGAAGACAGAGGGAGGACCCAGCAGCCAGAGGTGAGCAGCAACCATTCCAGAGAGAGCCCTTTGGCCCGCACAGGCCTGCTAGAAACTGGCATCTCCCGCACACCCATGGATCTATGCCCACCCCATCCCAAACTGCAAGTGAAGCCAAGAAGGCAGAGGAAGGGCCCAGCAGCCAAAGATGAAGATGTACACACAGGGAAGAGACCAGCAGCCTACAAAGATGTGGTGACCTCCAAGGCCAGACCATCACAACAGCACATCCAGAGCATCACTGTCCTTGGGAGGCGTGGTGGGACAGCACCAGACCCAGCCCGACTACCAGACCTGGAGGAGGAGTACTATTCCATTTTGTGTGGGAGGGGGATGGGTGGGTGGGTGGGTGTGTATGTGTGTGAGATATGTAGAGAGATGTGGTATATACCACATTTAAAAAAAATATTTATTTATGCATGCAAGAACTAGGGTACAGGCCAGAGGTGTGGGGGGTGAGAGGATTCACCAGAGACAGAGCGGGGAACAGAACAGGCAAATTGACTGAAATACACTGCTGAGGAGAACAGCGGGTGAGTCAGGAGTGGTCTGCTGCGCCATATGGGTATCTCCCTGGCGAGGGATTGAACTCGTGCTACGAATAGCTTCATAGGTTGCATATTAATCCCTTGCGCCCCCAGGGACACCCTATGCCACATTTTGTTAATCCATTCATCTGTCCTCCACGACATGGGTTATTTCATACTTTGGCTGTTATAAATAGTACTGCAGTGAAAATAGAGGGCTATCTTGATTTGAGTAAGTGTATTCATATTCTTCAGGTAAATACCCAGGAGTGGAATTACTGGATCATACTGTAATTCTATTTTATTTTTTCAAGAACCCGCCATATTTTTTTCCAAAATGGCAGCACTAATTACATTCCAACCAATATTGCACAAGGGTTCTTTATCCCCTGATCCTCACAAAATTTATTTTTTGACTTTTGATCATAGCCATTCTTACTGGTATGAGCGGAAATCTAATTGATTTTTTTAAATGTTGAACCATCCTTGTGTTGCTGGGATCAATCCCGCTCAGTCATGAGGTGTGATCCTTTTAAATGTATATTTGAATTTAGTTTGCTAAGGTCTTATTGAGGATGTTTGTGTCTACATTCATCAGGGATATTGGTCTGTAGCTTTGTTTTTTTGTGATGTTCTCTGATTTTGGTATCGTGGAAATGTTGGCCTCATGAGATGTATTTGGCAGCATTCCCTCTTCCTCTATTTTTTTGAAGAGTTGAAAAGGACAGGTATTAATTAGTTCATCTTTGAAGATTTGGTAGAACTCACTAGTGAAAATGTCTGTCCTGGACTTTGTTTTTTGGGAAAATTTTGATTAGTTTTCTGTCACCTCATGGTAGGGGGCAGCATCATTGGGAGTGGTGTGGGACTGAGGAAAGACAACTCTCAAAGTCCATGTAGAAAGAGCAAGAGAGAAACCTAGAGGGGCTTGCACCTCTGGAGATGCAGCAGCAGATTTTCCAGGCCAGTCTCACATTTATTAGTTATCAGATTCAGGGAAGGAGGCAAGTACTTGGAGAAATATGTGTGGTCGGGATGTGTATTGGGGATGCATAATTGTCTGGCACAAGCTAGGGAGGAATGAACAGGGGCTATTGACTGGGGGGCTGCGTTGCTGCTGCTGATCAAAACATCCTAGCTCTAGTTCCTGTTTACATTTAACTTCTGTTAAAGTGGTCTAGCTGGTGATGCTAATCTGGCCATAATGTCTGCCTGTTGTTTTCAGCAGATATCCTCATACCTCACTTTTGTCAGGCCCCCCTGCCTGAATCTACATTTTAGCTTGACCAGCAGAAACTCTGGGTGCCAAGACTACATTCTGAGAACAAGGTGGGCTGGGAAATCCACTTCTCCCCCTTTTGGTTATTCAAGCTCAAGCTCTGGGTAGGAATCTGGTGGAGACAGATAATGGCTGATATTGGGAGAGTTGCAGGAAGGTCAGCATAAAGAGTTCTCTGAAACAGGTACAGAGCTTTTACAACTTACGTCCTTTGGAGTTTATGGTGACATGGGACAGCATTGTTAAAAAAAGATTTGCTGGGGTTTCAGGTGATGCCATCATTTTTACGGTAATCTTAGCCATGTTTGATAGTCTTTTTAATTTGCTCCAGGTTGGTCTGGAGGACTCCATAGTCGGTGGTAAGGGATCTTCTTTTGACTCATCTCATGTTGGGTACCTGGAGCTCGTAGCTAGAGCTCTGGAATAGGATTGGTCCTCTTTTGATGTCAGCTCATGATAGGAGCATACTTTTGGTGGTACCCAAAGAGGACCTGTAGGTGATAAAACAGAAACATACCCTCTCCCCCATGTTAAAAGTTTACAGCTCCCAGCCAAGTTGGTCCTTGCAATGGGTGGCAATACAAAACCAAGGGCCTAGGGCCTGATTCTGCTGGGATAAAATGTCATTCGTTCTACTGCAGTGAGATAAGAATTACAATTTAAAGATTTAAGGTAAATAATGCTTTGTATATTTGTTCCTGAGGGGGCAAGTTACTCTCCAGATTCCCCCTTTTGTGTTTCAAAAGTTTGTGTTTTAAGGATTTTTGTTTGTTTGTTTTTGAGTAACTGTCCTCAGCTTTTTATAATTGACTGGCTTAACAATTGTCTTCTATACTTTCTGCAGAAGGCAGGTGATCATATATTTCCTGCTTCTATGACCAGAGTCTTGTAGTTGTGAACTCTATGGGGGTCAGTGTTAGGGTCCTACCAGAACATATGACGGTTTAAAAAGTCCTAGGTATTTTTAGAACACTCTTTATTAGTTTATACTGATGTTGAAAAGCTGTAACAATTTATATGACAGTATTTTCTGTGAGATATCAGTACACCCAGATTGACCAAATTTGTTTTCCACAAGGGAAATACTTTTATTGGCTGTCTTAGAAGTCCTTTTAAGACAAAGACTGTAATATTTTAGAATTTTTGATAATCATAGGATTAATAAACTTACAGATGTTTATAAGATAGTTATTTAGATGACAAGGATTTTTAGGAATAGATTTATTTTTATGACACGTCTCAGCAGTACTGCTAGGATAAGAATTTTCTCAGGTGACCCTGTAACAGGGTGGTCCCCAGGAAAGGGGGAGGTTCCCTGCCCCACCCAAGGGAGGGTGGAGCTGAGCAGGAAGAGAAGAGGAAGCTGCAGAAGAGACTGAGGAAGGAAGGAGCAGGATGGAGCCGGGAGACCTGGAGGAGGCGCAGGGAGCCTAGAGACATTTGAAGAAACTGCGCTTGTCTTTTGGTCGTGGACTGGGGTGAGACCCATGGGGAGGTGACAATGGAAGCTTTTATCTGGATGTTGATTTTGCTCTTTTTCTTTCGGGCTTGTCTGGTTGTTTCTGACCCTTTTCTGTGGGTCCCCACTGGAAGATACTTTAGACTTATGGCAGGCTTTGGGGCCTTACTCTGGGCCGATCCCATATGGATGGACTTTTACCCACGAGGGGACCGGTAACTTTGGGTGCTTCATTTAAAAACTAGACTCTTTGCCTTACCTGTACTGTTTCCTAGTTTTGTTAAAGTTCCTTCCCATTAAAGTCTCCTATGTTTTGTGTTGATGCGGCTAATGGCAAAACCCATTTAAAATAGGCAGGTTTGCGGGGTTTGGGCTGCCCCTCTCCCTGTCCTATAACAACCCAAGGGTGAAAGAGCACCTAAACAGTCTTTCATTTGTTACAGGAAGCTAGTGAAAGTGGTTTTAGAATACCTTAATTTAAAAAAAAATTTTTTTTGCAAAAAGGACTGAAGTTTGGTGTTATATAGATAGCAAAAAGGTAAACCTAAATATTTAGTAATTTTTCATTTAAATGATTTTAGATATTTAACAAAATTTTATTTTTAAACTTAGCAAAACTTTAGTTTTAAAAGAGATTTTGGTCACCATGTAAATAATGATAAAAGGTGTTAGGAAAGGGAGGAGGCCAAGAGTATCAGAATGAAGTGGGCTTTATTGAAAGTCCCTGAGGGACGACTCCCTGCAGGCTCAGAGTGCCCCTGGAAATGCGGAGAGTGGGGCTTTATAGGGTTAGGCAATTCCTGGAATTTTTGGTGTATGTGAGGGGTCTCTTCTGCCGGGGGCGGTCTGCTGGGGTTGTTGATGCCAGGGCAGTTCTGCTGGAATTGTTTACTGTTGTTAGCTTGATCTCAGATTCTGTTTATCTCCAGTTCCCTGGTGCAAGGTTGTACGAGTTTTAGGGTTTTACTTGGGCCGGTGTGTGTTCTCTTCATTCCAGACTGTGAAAGGGGGTAAGAAAAAAAAGGTGGGGAACGATGTTATCATATCTAGCTACTTCCTGCTGAGAAGGGGTGGAGTCAGGACCCCAGAGTCCAGGATGGAACACTGTTGTGGCTGGGGGATCAGTTGGTGATGGAGGAGGAGGAGGGCCTTATCGAAGAAGCAGATTTCTAGGAAAGGATTGCAAGGAGAACAGCTAAAGGCCCCAGGAGGATGGAAAATCAGGGTGTTTGAGGAGGCTTACTAGACCCCATCAGGAAGATCCTGGTTGCCGGAGTTTTGCGAAAATGGGAAGTTTTCTAACACTCCGGAGGCTACTGAAATTTAAAGCAGAGATACTTGTGGTCTGTGGTGTAGGTCTGTTCCCAGGATGGGTTGCCCCCTGTTGGGCCCAGAGGGAGGATGGGCTGGACTGGATGGTGGTGCCAGCATCAAAAGTGAGGACAACTGTAGGGAGTGAGTCATCCACTGAGTTTGGTTGAGGAGGTGTCTCCTGCCTCCTTGTGCTGTCACCTGGAATTCACACCCTGGGGAGTGGGAGGGTTCACAAGAAAAGTAAAAGGCAAAGGAGTAGAATTGGATCTGGGTGGGGTTGAAATTGCAGAAGGTTCCTTGGAGCCAGAGGTCTCTGAGCCGTTGCAGGGTTTGGGAGGGATCCAAGAGCAGGGGCAAGGAGGGCGGAAACTATGAGCAAGTAAACAAGAGTAAAATTTACCAGTGAGGGAGGCCATGGGCCAAAAGAATTGGAGCAAGGCAGAGTAAGTGGCCCTTTACCAAGAAGGTGATCTTTTTGTCTGTTCCTTTTAGGGTCACCCGAGTCTTGTCTATAGAGATAGTAAATGGGGGAGCCTGTGTCACCTCTGGGCTTCTTCCTAGGAGGTCTTCATAGGTCCTGTGGATTGGGCTAGCCCCTCCTCTCTGGAGGGTGGAACAGTCTGTAAGTGGGCCAGGTTTGGGTGGAGAGCCGAATAGGCCATCTGGACCTTAAACTGGTTTAATCCCAGTTTTGAGAGGTTGTGGAGGAGGCATCCCAGAGGGCAGCCAGTGGGGGACGGATATGG